CTTTTATGCCTTTGTTTCACCCTTCAAGCTTCCAGGACCCCCTCCCCTTTCACATTCCAGCTGATGGCTTGCTACCTGATTCGCTGAGAAGAGAGGCGCAGTCAGAAGGGGACTTCCGTCTGTTCCCACACCTGCATCTGAACCCACACTGCACCTCCCTCCCCGGGACCGTGATGAACTGTCCTGGCTACTGGGCTCGTGCCCCTCTGCAGACATCCTGCCCTCCGGCCCACCAGGGGTACGACCCTTCCAGCCACTGTCCCCTCACTTCTTTACTGCCCATCGTCTGTCTCTATTAGATGATTTCATTTAAAAACAAGCAAAACGATTCCACGCCCTCTTGCAGGAACTACCTTTTCTCTCCTCCTACCTTTTTCCAGCAAAATTCCTCAGGAGGGATTCTTTCTACAGGACACTCCCCTCCAGCTGGGGTGGCCACTGAGCGCTCACTTGAGATGCGCTCTATGTGTAGAACACACAGCAGGTTTCAAAGATTTAGTGCAAAACACAGAGGGACAAACATCTCACTAAAAACTCTTTATTACTGGGCTTCCCTGGTGGCGCAGCGGTGGGGAGTCCGCCTGCCGACGCGGGGGACGCAGGTTCGCGCCCCGGTCCGGGAAGATCCCACGTGCCGCGGAGCGGCTGGGCCCGTGAGCCATGGCCGCTGAGCCTGCGCGTCCGGAGCCTGTGCTCCGCAACGGGAGAGGCCACGACAGAGAGAGGCCCGCGTACCACAAATAAAACAAAAAAACAAAAAAAAACCTCTTTATTACAGCTGAAGTGATCACATTTTGGTTATGCTGGATTAAATAAAATCTATCATCACCGTCCATTTCGCCTGTTCCTTTTTCACTTTTTTAGTGTGGCTACTGGAAAATCTAAATTGCACACACGGCCCACATTTGTGCTTTGCACTGTTTCTGTTGGACAGAACCGTCTTGAATGCTCCCCTGTCCTCTCTGGAACATGTGTGGCCCGCGTACACAAATAAAACAAAAAAACAAAAAAAAACCTCTTTATTACAGCTGAAGTGATCACATTTTGGTTATGCTGGATTAAATAAAATCTATCATCACCGTCCATTTCGCCTGTTCCTTTTTCACTTTTTTAGTGTGGCTACTGGAAAATCTAAATTGCACACACGGCCCACATTTGTGCTTTGCACTGTTTCTGTTGGACAGAACCGTCTTGAATGCTCCCCTGTCCTCTCTGGAACATGTGTCTGTTACCTTTGTCCCCATCACTCCAACATGACAGGTGTTGCCAGGGTCTGAGGCCGGTGGTCAGTTTCCTGTCCTTGTGCCTGCGGCACCACGTCGGTTTCTATGGGACCACTCGTTTGTGCCCAGGCTCAGATCAAAGCCAGGGGCTTGTCGGGAGGAGCTGGGATGTGGTGCCAGGGCACAGGAGCCAGGACGCTGGGAGGGCAGAGGAACAGGCCCTGGCGGCAGCCTCCACCTGCCTGACGCCCTGCCTGGGCTGCCAGTGCCGTGAAGCCCGCTCGACGCCAGCACAGGGCAGGCGGGACCTGCCCTGAGGGACTGTCATCTGATGCGGGTCTCGGACCCTCCCGCGCACCGGACTGATCCTGGCTGGAGGCGCCTGCACACTTCACCGCCCAGCATCCCTCAGAGGAGTCGGAGCCCCGCCGGGCAGGCAGGACATCCTGACGCTCCCTCTCTCTTTCTCTTCCAGGCTTTTCAGTGCAATCTTAGAGCAAGCCACCAAAGCCGACGGGGCCAACGCCCTGGGAGGGAAGGGGGCTGGATTTGACGTGAAGGCGCTCAGGGCGTTCCGCGTGCTGCGGCCCCTACGGCTGGTGTCCGGGGTCCCGAGTAAGTAGCCTGGGCCTGTCGGCCACGTGACCTCCTCACCGTCCCCCAGTCTCCCCCGAACCTGAATTGCCAAGGAACCTGATTTCATATACACGGAGGGTTTTCTTGAATGGGTTCCTTTGCTCTAAAGGTCCCAGCTCTGCTGTGAGTCCATTAAAACCCACTGTGGCCCCCGCTCCTGTGAGCACCTGGGGAATCCACAGCCTGATGGAGACAGCTGCACAGAGAACAGCCTCGCGGCCATCTGAGCAGCCCCCCGTCCGCCACCCCGGCCGGGGCTGGGGATTTAAATACATTTGCAGCAGAAGAGCAGTGAGCTACTCCCCAGGCTCCCAGGGCATGGGAGCCGATGGGATTATCTCTGCTGTCTGTATTTTTCCAAAGAACGGTGGTCAGTTTCCTGTCCTTGTGCCTGCGGCACCACGTCGGTTTCTATGGGACCACTCGTTTGTGCCCAGGCAAAAAAAGCAGCAGTGGATGTTCAGGAAGTTCTGTTTTGCCACTTCTGCCAGCCCTCCCCTCCCTTCACGTCACGTGGGGCATCTCCGGCCACAGAAGCCCTATTTTTGGGCTCGCCGCCTGTCAGAGTGAGAACTGCTTTTCTCTGAGGGGGGAGGGCGCTGGCCTGAGTCGGGCAGGCGGGCGTGGGAGACAGGCCCGGGGACGGCGCCCCTTCCTCCTCTCCGGCAGCAGCCCCCCATTGCGGAGGGCCCCCCAGCCCTGGACACGGAAGGTCGGGCTCCCAGCGTCCGCTCCGGCAAACCCCGGCCCAGCCTGCTCCCGGGCTGAGTCCACTTCCAGACCTCCTGCCGCTGCTGTTCAGCTAGGGCTCACTGAGCCTGATTCCGGGCGTGGGTGCTGGGAGATGTCACCGTCCGCTCAGCGTGACCAGGTCTGGGCCCTAACTCGAGGTGGAGAAGACCCCCGAAGCGGGCTGCAGCCAGACGAGCTTGGAGACGGGGCCGGGCCGGGAAGGCAGAGGGGGCCTCTGCACGCCCACCTTTCCTCCTGCACGGCCACCAACCAGGTGACGTTATCCTACTCAGTGGGTGAAACCTCTCAGGGTGTAGAACTGGGGGAACACGAGGGATCTTGTATCGACCTGTCCAGTGCTTTCCGTACCCACGCAGGATAGTGGAGAGATCCTCCCGGAGTAACTGAATCAACCACAGCAGAGCAGAGAGAACCAGGTCTCCTGAGTGAAACCAGCTCTCCCCACGGCACCGCATGACCTCCCGTAAAGAATTGCGTGCGTCTTAGACGCTACAGGCGTGTCCTGCCTCTGCACTTACCTTATAAGCCCCCTGAAGCCCAGAGCTGTGCCCTGTGTTGTCTCTGACTCCTGCACGATGCTCGCCTGGTCTCTGCTCGGGGTGGGAACTCCCTGGGTGGGCAAAGGCAGGAGTGGGGGTCCCTGGGCAGCGGTGGCCTGTGTTAACTCCCAGCAAGTGTAGACCGTGGCCCCTCTGCTTGGCCTTAACCACTGGGCACTGAGAATGGAAACAGTGTACGTGACGGCTGAGACCCAGGGCCTGTTTGCAAAGCCTAAATTATTTGGGTTTTCGTGGTCAACTAGCCATCACTCCATAGGCCAGACTCAAGGAGTGAGAAGGTAGGGTGGGAATCAGTTGGAACAAGACTTTAAGGGGTTTAGTATGATGGTGCAGCCAACGTGCCAGTGGCAGGGACTGTGAACTGAGCCCACACTTCAGCCCAACACGCTACCACGGGCACGATGACGCTGACCCTGCTGTGGGTGCGCTTTTTAGGGCCCACAGCGTCAGGGCACCGTGCAGGGCATGAGGACACGTCATGAAAATAAGTATGGTCCCTTCCCTGGAGGAGCTTGAAAATCTAATGAGAGTACACCAGGCAGCCTTTGCTGCAGGAAAAATCCATCCCAAACTCGCGGTGACTGAAAACCAGAATCACGCATCCTTGGTTCGTGTTGCATGAGGGCTCCGGGCCTGACCAGCTTCCGTGGTCACCTCATCCCAGAGCCCAGGTTGAGGGAGCGTCCAGCGTGCGTGCCTGTGGCCCTCACGGCACGGGGCGGCTCTCGCCAAGGGGCACACGGTCAAACCACACGGGCATATTCTAGGCTTTTGCTCAACCTGGTTTATATCATGGCTGCTCACATGCCAGTGGCCAGAGCAAGTCACCCGGCTGCCGTGGTCCCAAAGATGACGGGACACAGAAGTGTCCTGTCCATACAGAGAAGCACAGGTGAAGGGTTGTGATTAAACAGTCCACTATCCCCAAGAGACGGAAGGGGTGTTGTTAACAGGACTAGTTACGGTGATGACTCTGGTACAGAGGTTCCTAATCAGAGATGCAGGGGCGCTGGATCCCGTGGAGTAGCCGGGGCTCCTCCACAGAGGAAGCTTCACGGACCGCGTGCCGTCCGTGTGCGCTGCCGACGGCAGCTCTGCACTGTGGGGCTGGGAGCCGTTCCATCGAGAGGGTGAAGACGGGACTCTGCCTCTCAGATGTAAGGCCCTGCTGCCCCACCGTGAATTCAGGGGGATGTTCCGTCAGTGAAGCTGGTGCTCGTGCAGCCTTGGGGCCTGCAGGTAGCTCTGGCTTTCTCAGACAGCTAGCAGCTGGGTCTTGTTTCCTGTGGGTCACTGGTGAAAAGGGAAAGGCTCTTCTGGGGGCTTCAAGGCAGGGCTGATCCAGCCTTTCTCACTGGGATAGCGTCTCTGCGACCTTTTAAGTAGTGACGTGTGTAGACTCAGGTGGCTAAGTGCCCCGGGCTGGTCTGGTTGATCGCGTCGAAGACGACGTCACCGACGTCTCCCACTGCAGACCTGGACGGAGGCCTTCCTCCTCCGCTGCCATAGCCTTTGGGTCTCCCCGCCGCACCACTCCCGTCTCCTCCTTCTCTCTGGACCTGCCGCTGCCTGGCTTTCTCCCCCAGGGCAACGCCGAGGCATCTCTTATTGAGACCACCGGGGATCTCCACGGTGCCGGACCCAGCGGCCTGCCTCGGGGCCGCTTACCTGACTCTCTGCAGGATTAGATTCAGTGGCTGGTCCCTCATCCTTGAGCCGCATCGTCACCGGGCCTTGGGGACGCTGTTCTTTCCTAGGTCTGCCCTCACTCCACTTGCTTCTCCTTGTGGGAGTCGCGGGCTGACTTCCCCTCGCCTTCCCCTCCTCTTACCGCTGGGAGCGCCAGCTGCATCCTTGGGCCTCTTCCGTCTCTGCACGGGTCCCTGGTGGTCACGCCCAGTCTCCTGTGTGGCCTCTGATAACGGCGAGCTGCTGCCGCCCGCACACAGCCCTCTTCTCCGAGGCCGGACTTGCGCTGCCGCCTCCGTCCCTTCGCGGGAGGCCTGGTAAGCGGCACCCTGAGCTCACCATGTCCCCCAGAGCCTTTCCCGTTTGGTAAAGGTCAGCCTCCTCCTTCTAGCGACTCAGGCACAAATCCTTGGCCTGTTTCTTTGTCCCACCCTATGCTTCCAGGCCCTCAGAGCATCCTACGAGCCACACCTTCCAGATACTCAGTTTCCTGCCACCTCCGTGTGCACTGCAGCGCCCACCAGCCCTCACCCGGACCATCACCACTGCCTCCTGGCAGGAGTCTCTGTTTTGCCCTTTGCCCTTTGTCGCAGCCGGGGCTCAACACAGCAGCCAAATGGTCCTCTCAAAATACGTGCCACTGTTCCAGTTAGAACCCTCCGGGCTCCCCACCTCCTGAGAGACAGAGCCCCTCTGCAGCCTCCCCTCCCCCTGCCCTCCTCGGCCCCCCACCAGCCCTCGCGACCCCCAGCTGTGCCGCAGCAGCCCGAGCGCACTCACGTGGTGGGACCTCCGTCCGGGTGCCGTTCGCACAGCTGGCCTCGCGGCCTCGGTGTCCGCGGAAACGGCACCTTCTCGGGGGCCTGTCCCGCCGCCCGTGTCCTCCGCCCCCTTCCCCCCTCTATTTCTCCTACACCTCTCTCCACGCTCTTGCCCTCGTTTATCTGTTTGTCACCCCTGGCCTCACGAGAACATAACCTCTACGAGGACAACAGTTTTTTTTTTGTTTTGCTCACTGCTGTATCCTCAGCCTCTAAAATTATCTACAGAAACGCCAGGTCAGTCGTTGTGGGGTGACTGGGCCCCTCATGGGCTCCACGTGACCGGGACAGAGCACCAGCCCACCCCTAAGGGATGCTGGTCCTGAAGACCTTCCGTTCACGGGCGCCTCCTTTCGTGTTTCCGAAAGGCTTTTTTCTTCCACCTTATTTGGTCTTCATGACGACGGTGTGCTGTGTAGCTGTGCACATAGGTAGCACATAGTCAGGTGCTGTTTCTGTAACAAACAGGCTAACTGGGTGGTTTGCGGGACCAGAAACTCCAAGCCCAAAAAGTTACTGTTATTTTTTGCATCCAGATGTGTATTAAATGCCATTGAAATCTTAGGATCACAGATTATGGAGGGAGAGAGATGCTTGTGAGGGTACAAGCCCATGAGTCATTTATTAATTTTTTTCAACAAAACCCACTGAGTACCTACTTCATATAGGACTTTGCTAGCTGTCTCAGAAGATACAGAAATGAGTCAGACACTAAGAGTGTTCTCAAAAGACTGAATTGTCATTGAAAATAATGATCATAGAAATGATGGTAGAGCGCAAAAATTGGAGATGTGCAAAAAAAAAAAAAAGGTTGAGTACGACGTGTTGAATTCTGTGACGGCTGTGCTTTTGGGGACTCTGTACTTTGGGGAGTGGGGATAGAGATCGGGACAGGCTTCTTGGAGGAGGAGGACAGACCTTGAAGGGCAAGTGAGGAGGGGCCGCCAGGAAATCAGGAGGGAGGTGAGAGGGTGGCTGAGGCCCTAGAGTTGTACACAGGGAGGCTGGGGATGGGGGGGTTGCGTCTCACTGTGGGTGCAGAAACCAGCTGACGCTCTCAGTGAGACGCTGTGCAACTAAGGTTTGATCACTTTGCTCCATCAAATTCCCACAGTAAAGGAAGTGAGTCCCCAGGGCTTGTGAGGCCCCACTGTCC